TACATTATTAGTAATGGTATTAAATGCGTTTCAAAGAAGGCAATGTACCATTACGATAAACAATACGGGCCTTCTGGTACAATAAACAATAATGAGGTACCGGGTCGCATTGTTTATTGTAATGATATTAACTGTTAACAAAAGGTGCGCTCTTCACTCAATATACCCTGCGCTCGTCCATCTAGTGTGACATTATTGATATCTGGTATTCTATATGTACCTAAACCTGTCGCGGCTTTAGGATTTTGTGCGTTAGCTCTTCAAATGTCGTTCCAATCGCGGATAAGGAAGGGTTCATACAACCACCCATGTAGTATATGTATCACATATGTTGGTGCATTATTTGTATATGTTTTACCGCGGTCCTTCGGATTGTGTGAAAGTGCGCGGGTGCTGACGTCACACTGCGTGTGACGGTATAAAAACTCGCGCGCGGCTCAGGGCCGGGGGCTCGCTCACTCTGGGGGACTCTCGCTGGCACTCGCCCGACTCGACTCGGCCGGGGCAGTGCTTTTGCTCGACCTCGCCACGCTGCGATGTGAGTACCGGTGGGACACCGGTCCAGTCAGGACCTGTTGTGCCCGAGTGACGCGAAAGTGTTTTCGTCACTGCGCGTGTAGCGGGTAACATTGCGCCTGTCTGCCTATTGCCTAGTAACTGTACTTTTGCTGTACTTGAATCTAATCTCATGTCTATAATAGCCTGTAATGTAATATACCTGTTCCAAGGCAAAGCAAATTCTTTGTAGTTTGTAACGTTTACGTCTGAAAGAGACGATTGCTTGAAGAAGTGGTGCTAAAAATAAACTTTCATACTCCTAGACAAACGACCTGCTCAGCAGACACTTCATGCGTGAAGCCAAGCTGGCAAAGTAAAACAATAAAATTCACAACCCGAGTATGCGACCTCCATTTTCATGCCTGATCCATGGTCAGAGGTGAACCCGTTTTGTGAGCTCATGAAGGGTCGAATGCGCTTGAAAACAATGAAGCTGCTTGAGGAAGGTTGTTACCAATGCCCATGCAAAATTTCGACTGTTAATTTCATGTTGATTCAGAATTATTGACAAAAAAGCATGGCTGGTACCTGTAAGCGAACTTTTGAGACACCCTGTATGTCACTGTCCTGGTTGACAGTGACATACGCCGGCGCTCACCGCTAGGAGCGACATGGGTGCCATGAATCTCGTCATGTTATGTAGCCATGGATGAAGGAGAACCTTTCAGCCTTCAGATTCTTTCATCCATGATGTAGCATTGGACTGTGTTCGTTCCTCTCGTCGATACGCGTCGAATGAACTATACGTTGACCTTGAAAGGTCATTTTGAAATTTTGACCTCAGGTCAAGGTCATGACCTGACCGGAAAGGGTCATGTTGCAAATCAGTTGATCCTAATCGTCGAGCTGAACACATCTGACGTGTTTTCACCGTTCTAGCACGTCTCTATCAAAAGTTATAGCCAAAAAACTGCTGGTGACCGTCCATGACCTGAGATGACCTTACGGGCACACAGAGGGGTCACAACTCACAGGCGCATTTTTCCGATTCAGTGTGTCATGTTTACCTATGAACCAATGTTTGAGAGGGTTTTGAACGACATTCGTCCAAAAGATTCATTCGCATTTCAATTGCCTCCCATATGAAACCCGACCGGAAAGGGTCATGTTGCATATCAGTTGATCCGTATCGTCGAGCTGGACACATCTGACGTGTTTTCACCGTTCTAGCACAATACAAACGTTATGATGATGATGATGATGATGATGTATTTCGAATAGCCTCCATAAATGGCTTTTACGGCTAAGAGTCATACAAGATACAATACATATGTACACTTGGATAGAATCAGCACTCGACATATTACCAATTTACCATCACAGCCAGCCGGTCTAACAAACCGTCCTAATGTTCGCTGGAAGCCCGCAACCAAGTCCTAACGGCGCCCCGGCATCCCCGAGCGGTCCTCGCCTCCCGAACATCAGAGGGGGACCGATTCCACGCGGCCGTCGCCCGGTAAGTATAAAACTTCCGGGCGAACTCCCGTCGCACCCGGGGCGGCTGCAGCAGACCGGAGAGCGTACCGCGCGTATCTCTCTCCGCCACGTCTCTCCGGTACACCACCCGGTCACGCAACGCGTCGGGAGCTAGCGGATGATGTATGGTTCTAAATAACATGGCCATATCGCGTTCAGTTATGAGGTCCTCAATGGTCGGCCAGTGGAGCTGCTTTAATAGCGGTGAAACATGATCGTACCTTTTAGCACAAAAGATGATGCGAGCACAGTGGTTAAGAACTTTTTGCAGGCGGTGGCGTTGAGTTAAACCACAAGCACCATATACAGTCAAACAGACTTGTGCCAAGGTCCCAAAAAGGTCCGAGATCCAGGGTTTGCAGAGTCCAAGGTCTGGGACCTTGATGGATCCTGGACCTTGCATTGTCATTTTTGTCGTGAGACCTTGGAAACCCAGGACCTTAAAACATCCATATGCCGCGAGACCTTGGAATCCCAGGACCTCAACATTTGCATATGTCGCAAGACCTTGGAATCCCAGGACCTTAACATTTGCATATGCCGCGAGACCTTGGAATCCCAGGACATCAATATTTCATGTGACATGAGACCTTAGAAACCCAGGACCTCAACATTTCATATGCCGTGAAACCATGGAAACCCAGGGGACAGGACCTCAAAATTTTGGTATGCTGCAAGACCCTGCAGAATGCAAACCTTCAGTCCCAGTTTTATTATTTGTCATGGGATCTTAGGAGAAGGGTCTGGACCTATACCATCATTTTGTTGAGGGACCTCAAGAATCCTGGAAGCTGGACCATAAGGTTTATGTTGCACATGGGCCACTAAGGACCCTGCACTAGGTTTTGTCTGTAAACACTTCAATGAATATCTATGGTTGAGCGACCAGCTGCAAGGGGCTAAGATAGATACATGAAGAGAAAAGAACCAGACTGTGTAGACATATATAGAGCCAAATCGTTGTCATGGCTGTGAGGCAGAACTGGGACAAGAGGCTTTTTACATTATCAATGTTATGGATTATGAAACTGTCAAACAGTGGACAGTGGTGGTTTGGAAAGTTCTTTTCTAATCTCACCTCACATATTTTCTGGGTTGTGATATGCCGGGCTTGAAGCTACTTGGAAGCTACCCACTGACCAAGTAAGTGTCAAACTTATTTGATTTGCATTTTGCAAGTCATCAAATCACCATTGAGCAATGTGCATCCAATATAAGCAATGATTTCATGACAGTTCAGCTTTTTCGTTTAGCAGGTTTTCATCGGACAATTTTTCGTCCGCAGATTTTCGTTCGCAGACTTTCGTCTATGCATTTTTTCGTCTTTGCATTGTTAAGTCCGCGAATTTTTTCGTAAGGGCATTTTCCGCCTCGTCCAGACGAAAAAATGCCGGACAGAAAAATACTCAGACGAAAAATGCACCAAATCAATTCGTACAGACGACAAAATGCAAGACGAAAAAGTCAGACGAAAATCTGCCGACGAAGAACCGTCTGACGAAAAAATTGTCAGATGGAATTTTGTTCAGAACCTTCAAGCTAATGTGAATAAACAGTAAGTAAGGTTTGCGCTCGCTGATACTCTAATTCTATTGGCTTAGTCGATCAGTTTTTTCTGTGAGCGCTCGCGCAAACAAGACTTAAAACATATTTGAGTTTTATCCTAGGTATTATGTAATGTGCAGAAAATCGATAGCATATACCTATCCAATTCAATTTTTCCATTTTTATGAAGTCTGTTGGTTCTATTTCTGATTTTTGATATTGCCTGAAAGAATACTTGGATGTCTGTCTTCAATAATTGTAAGGTGCTATCCTACATTCCTAATGATCAGGTAAGATTGATTTGAAAGGGACATGACAATACAAAATGCAAGGTACCTATTACCTACCTATATTTTTATGAATTTGTCAGGCTAAAGAAGGAGAGATTGATATTATGATTCATCTTTAACTTGTGTTGAAGCTCCCCCTACCTATGTTGGTAAATGATAAAATCACCACAGGTTTGCATAGGTTCTGCCCCTTTCATTGTTGCTGGGCATCCGTTGGCAGAATATTTAGAAGTGAGTCTGCTCATCAGAATGTTAGTTTAAGTTCTTGTTGTGGGACCCTGAATACTTTGGATCCTGAGATGTATTCTTGCCGTGGGACCTTGAGGACTGTGGACCCTGAACTCTGAGTGTATACTTGTCATAGGACCTTGGGGACTGTGGATCCTGAAATTCACATTTGTCGTGGGACCCTAGGGACTGTGGATCCTGCAATGCATTCTTGTCGTGGGACCTTGGGAACCTTGGATTCTAGAAATTGAATTTGCCGTGGGACCTTGGGAACTTTGGATTCTAGAAATTGAATTTGCCGTGGGACCTTGGGAACCTTGGATTCTAGAAATTGAATTTGCCGTGGGACCTTGGAAACCTTGGATTCTAGAAATTGAATTTGCTGTGGGACCTTGGAAACCTTGGATTCTAGAAATTGAACTTGCCGTGGGACCTTGGAAACCTTGGATTCTAGAAATTGAATTTGCCGTGGGACCTTGAGGATCCTGGATCTTGATTTTTTGTCACGGCACAAGTCTGCAGTCAAACAATATAAAATGTGAGGGAACACCAGTGCTTCGATTAAAAATCTCTTCACTTCAGATGGCAAACGGCGAGACATCTTGCCCAGACCGCTGATAATTGCGTAAGAACGACGCACCACCAGCGACACATGTGAAACCCATGTTAGATTACAATCAACGGACACGCCCAAAACCTTGACTGATGTGTAGGGGTTTCATGCATCGGAACCTGCAAACCTTTAAACGGTTCCCCCCATATAGACATTACGTTAATCAAAGCTACTCTACAATGCCCGCCTGCCACCCGGGTGTATTAAACTAAGCGGCCCGTATGATTGTTCGTTCACGTTCACCGTGGATCAGCCCGGCATCTGCCTTTTACTCCCAAGAAAGATTTCGCTCACATTCCGAACTCTATGTATTTTAGATTTGCGGGATAAAATGATCACTCCTCAACTTCCATCGCTCACGCACACAGCACACATCACACTTTCAACCGCTCACTCATTTACCCTACGCGCCGCGCCGATGAATATAATTTAGACGGGACGGCCCTGGATATGAACGGGAGAGCCCACCGCTATTTGCGGCGGGTCGGAAAGCCAAATAAAATCCAGGACATATGTCGGGGACTTCCGCAGCGCCTGGGCGCTGCGGCGTTAATTTAGGGGGGATGGAAAAGATCGCTTACCGAAAGATGTTGCCCCGACGAAACCGCACTGGCAAATGCCACGAGAGACGGGCCCGCGAGTCCCAGGTGCCGGCCAGCCGCTGCCTTTCACCCGGCGGGCACGCCTTTCCCGCCGGAGGCAAACATACGGCGGACTGGCCTAACGCGGACTCTGGTTCTCCGGCCCGCCGCTCCACACACTCTCTGACGCGCTCAATTTTGCCCTTACATAATAATTCTCCCTCCCACGGACGGTGAAAAAGGGTCCCCTTACTCCCCCGGGTGAGAACCTTTCCACTATCTCATTCGCGCTTGACAATCATTATACCTACACAACACATGCGACATACATTCTACAGACATCCTACATACATTCTACAGACATCTTACATACATTCTACAGACACCCGCCCCACGCCTTACATGCACAGTCGCCCTGCCCACGCTCCCGCTCATCGCCCCATTGTTCATTCCGCCTGCCACCCTCCTGCCAAGCCCTTCTCCTGCTGCTCGCATTTTTCGCAGCGCCGATCCGTTGCCAGCTCTTCCTTCCCACGCTCGCTCGTATCGCCTCGCTCTTCTGGCCCTCGACCCTCCGCCATGAACTGGTCCTTGGTTGGAGGTCGCCTGGATTGGTAGCACACGCGCGCGATGCTCAGCCGGTAGCGCACGCTACCGCCCATAGCCGGTGTTCGCGGACGGTGGACACCTTGGTGGACGGCCGCCTCCCTGGGCGACCGCACTCTATCTCAGCGCCACCGCCGCAATCCGGGGCTTCTTGGGCGGCAGTCGGTGCCCCCGCTTGTAGGATGCGTGCTCGCGCGCCGCTAGGTGTCGTTGCGACCGTCTCCTTCTGCCAAGCCCGCCTCAGAGTTGGACGGCTCCCGCCAGGCGTCCCGGGGTCGCGCCACCAGGTGGCGGTGGCGGCGGCGGCGGCGGCGGTTCATGGGCGCGGGTGGTGCGCCGTGCCCGCCGCCTGTCACGCTGCCGCCAGCTTGGTGCGCCACCGGTAGAGGGCGTCGACCTTCAAATCCGGCATCCACCAGGTGGCGGTGGCGGCGGCGACGGCGGCGGCTCATGTGCGCGGGTGGTGCGCCGTGCCCGCCGCCTGTCACGCTGCCGCCAGCTTGGTGCGCCACCGGTATAGGGCGTCGACCTACCACCAGGTGGCGGTGGCGGCGGCGACGGCGGCGGCTCATGTGCGCGGGTGGTGCGCCGTGCCCGCCGCCTGTCACGCTGCCGCCAGCTGGGTACGCCACCGGTGGAGGGCGTCGACCCCCGGGAGCTGTCATGTGGCGCCTCTGCACGGCCGGCACCTGAAGCTGCCGCCCGACCATATGCTGCCGCGGATACCCGGGCCGCTGGTGCTGGATCGGGCGGCTGTCGACAGGTGGTTCAGCTGTATCCCAGCCCGTGCAGAACCGGCGGGGCCTTCAGGTCGGCCGGCCCGGCCGCCGTCACACACTGTACCGCCGCGGCCATTGGCACCGCGGTTTCCAGTGGGGCGGCCGCAGGCTGCTGACCGGCGCGTGGTGAGACGGGCCGAGCTCCGCCGCCCGCCGCACTGCCGGGGGCTGGACGGGACGGCTGGCGGATAGCGCAGCCTGATGGCCGTATGAGCGCCGCCGCTCCCGTCCTGCCGCGGGCGCTATCGTCGCTGGCGGTGGGCGGGCGGAGGTCCGTGGGCGAGTGCCGCCGCCCCGCGCAGGCGCGGCAGTAGTAGCCGCGGGGATCGGCGGGGCAGCGGGCGTTTTGCGCAGCGAGATGGGCGGTAGAGCGTCGTCCCTCCCGCCGCGGCTCTTGAGTGCTGCGGCGGACCGGGAGGCGAGGTGAACGGCCGGAACGGCGACGTCAGCAGCCGAGCGCAGCCGCCCGTACCGCCGCGGCTCTTGTGCGCCGCGGCTTCCGGGCAGCCGCGCAGACGGCTGAAGCGGCGGGGTCGGCAGCCGAGCGCAGCCGCCCGTACCGCCGCGGCTCTTGTGCGCCGCGGCTTCCGGGCAGCCGGGCAGACGGCTGGAGCGGCGGGGTCGGCAGCCGCGCGCCCACCGCCCCCGACTTGCTGCGGCAGTAGTCGCCGCCGGGAGCGGCGGGGCGGCTGGCGAACGGTGCGGCGAGTTGGAGAACGGATCACCGCCGCCGCCCGGCCCGTACGGCCGAGGTCTTGGTCGCCGCTGGCTCCTGGTCGGCGGCCGGCGGACCGGGCAACATGCCTGTGGGAGAGCAGGGGCTTTCCCTCCCCTCAATCATTCTGGCCCGTACATAACACACATACACACATCGCGACACTCTGCGGCATACATTTTTCTGAATCATCAACACCTGCAGCCTCGGTTCACATGAAATCTGACTAAATGTAGTTACCTTATTACGCTTCATCTGTTACAGCATTCACTATGGGGAAAAGTTTGTGACCGTTCGATAATTTTTGAATGGGAATGTGGATTTTTATTAATGACAGCGAAACCTCGAACCAGTCCGCCACCATGTAGAAACTAGTCTAACCACAGTTGTAATACAGCATGCCTAACCCAAAGCCGGGCCGACCTCCACCACTCACGTTAGCTGGTGGTCTCACACATCCATGCATTCTCCGCTCTCATTCGTCTGTTTCTCTCTCTCTCTTTCTCCCCTCTCTCTCTCTCTCCCTCTCTCTCTCTCTGTCTCTCTATTCTCTGTCGCTTGCTCTCTCTCTCTCTCGCTCTCTCTGTTCAGCCTTCGTCTCTGTCTCTGTCTTTGTCTCCGTCTCTGTCTCTGTCTCAGTCTCAATATCAGTCTCAGACCCTGCTCTTTCACTCACAATCCGTTATCCCTCCTCCTCACCAAGTCCATAACCCTTTTCCCGCGTGCGCCCCAAACATACCTCAGTAATTTGGCCGCGAACACGTGATTTGAGCAAATGCGTCGTGATCCTCGGACCTTGATGTTCAGCGGATAGGGTATTCCGCGCCTGACTGGCACTTGCTCGGTCATGTGTTCGGGGCCAACATTTCCATGCGCTCGCTCGCTCAGTCGTTTGCTGTCATCTGATCGCTCCCTTATTCCGTCACGTCTCCTTTCCTCCGCCGCATCGTCCGTCGTCTTTCTCCCTCGTCATTTAAACTCCCCTCCCCCGGTCATACTCCCAAACCCCGGTCATTGTCCCCGTCCCACACCCGCGCAAACACATTCCCTCCCCAGCCCGAGACCCATCCCTCCCCAGTGCCCGGACAAACACAATCAAACGCCTGCCTTGCCCTCCCCCAGCCCCGTCCCTCCCCACGACCCACGGCGCGGCGGCGGTCCACCCCTCGCGTGCCGACCGGCGCTCTCGGGCGCTTCATCGCACGACTCTCTCTCTCTCTCTCTCTCTTTCTCGCGCGACTCTGTCTCGCGCGACTCTCTGTCTCGCACGACTCTCTCGTGCGACTCTCTCTCTCTCTCTCTCTCTCTCTTTCTCGCGCGACTCTCTCGCACGACTCTCTCGTGCGACTCTCTCTCTCTCTTTCTCGCGCGACTCCGTCTCGCGCGACTCTCTGTCTCGCGCGACTCTCTCGCACGACTCTCTCGTGCGACTCTATCTCGCGCGACTCTCTGTCTCGCGCGACTCTCTCGCACGACTCTCTCGTGCGACTCTCTCTCTCTCTCTCTCTCGCGCGCGCGACTCTCTGTCTCGCGCGGCTCTCTCGCACGACTCTCTCGTGCGACCCTCTCTTTCTCTTTCTCTTTCGCGGCGCGCGGCGCATACTAACAACTACATGTGCATATGAAGTTTGAACACATAACAAAAACACTACTTCAACACTCATTCATCCACACTCGGCTGATCAATCCAACATTCATTTCTCGGTGGTCAGGTACCATTGCGCCATCCTCCCCTCGGGGGAGGATAACCAAAGGCAGCACTCCCACGCTGCCTCAACGATCAGGGGCGAGGTGCCTCTCTCGCTCCCAGCGCCTCAGAGGCCGCCCCTCCGACGGGTGATTAGATCAGCCGACCGGCGGAGTGAAGGGCTGTTTGGCACTGGCAGGCTGAGTTAGGGACCCACCCGGATCCCAGACGGCCAGGCCGCGCGGAGGCTCCATTCACTCTTGTGTCCATGCGCGAAAAGATCGGAATAATATAAATTAGCGGTTGAAATTAAAAAGGGCGTCAAACACCCGCGGCGAAAGCTATCAATCTGAAGGAAGACGTCCCCTAATAGTTTTCTCCCAACAGTTAAATTGCCTTAGTCATCTCCATCCAATGTATACGGTTATATGATATATTTGCTCGCGTCGCAGAGCGCTCCTAAATAAACGTACGCAAATATAGGTCGAGCCGGCTGTGGCCTGTCCAGCCTTCAAATCTCCCCTCTACCGGCTGGCCAGCCGAACGGCGGAGGGTGGACTTGTTTTGATGGTGGTGGGCCAGTGACCCGGCCGAGCTCCTACAGGCCGGTGAAAGCACCCTTAGCCCCTCGCTCAGGTGCGCAGCCCAGTCGGCCAATTTGCCGGTCCAGTCGACCCAGGTACCGGTGGGGAGGGTTCGGCGGTGATTACGCACAGTGCGGCGCCGCGCGGCACGCACTTCACTCGGCTAGTCACCGAGTGATTGGATCGGCGCAGTGACGCCGCCCGAGGCGCGGCGCGCCGGCCCATCCTGCCGACCGACTGGGGACGACGGCACCTGTGGTGCGGGTGCGGGGGCTGTTGAGCCTTTCCATGACGGAGACACCACACCGAGGTGACTGCGCTCGGGCCTGGAGTCATTCCGAAGGAATTCATGCTGGGTAAATGAGAACACTAATGACCGTTCTCCTGAAACATCACCAGAACTGCTGATGCTAAATTTTGATTGGCAGACGATACACTTATTGTACCGCACTGAGTTCTTTTGCCTCAGCTCTGATACTGCCGTTAAAACAAATGTAGTCACTGATAAAACCTGCAGCAAATTATACATTACGATGTTCGAAACTTATACGACGGCACACGCAGTTCGAAAGCGAATTTCTAAGAATGACACCCGTTTTCGCGTGTCGCTCACCTTGCTGAATATGGCCGGGACACTTATTGAGAATCTGAAACCGAATAATTTCGGATAAGGAATGTTCCTTTCTATTACGTTAATTGTTGCTTAAGAGGCGCTTTTTGCAATCAACTTCCCAGAAGGAATTATGGCGGCCATTGCGTCGTATATCGATTAATCAGAAGGTTTCGGTGCCGTACTGAGTGATTATGGGGTTAATTGTCTCGTTTGGTCCGTTTCGGAACGATAACTCTATCTTCCAAAATTATAGATGTTATGGAGTAAAGACGCAAGATGATGCACTAGTCAAAATCAAAGAGCGTTCAGACATCAAAATGACCGCGTTGGTTTTGAATCACATCGGCAACACAAAGCCACCGTCGTCTGGGGTGTGCTCGGCAGCAGGCGGCCAGCGACGGGCGAGTCCAATGACTCCGGTGTTGTTATTGCGGATCGGCCCGGTTCGCCGCTGCTCCTTGGCGGCCCTCCGCTCTGCGGGGCGCGGGTCGTCCCGCCCCGAGGCGTCTGGGATCGGCCGTGTGAACGCGGCGGCTCTCGCCTTCGGTCGGGTGGGTGGCCTACCCGCGGCGACCGGCTCGATCCCATGGCCGGCGGCGCGATCCCATCACGATGGGAATGCGTCCCTTCTCTGGGACGGTCGGAGAGGGCCCTGCCGTGGACCTGCCACCCCCTTGCGCGGGCGGCGCGGTGACCGAACCATAATTGCTCGGGTCGGCGGCGCTGGCCCGGCGCTGACAGGTGCGCGTGGTGTGGGAGCACAGGGGTCGGATCCAACCCGTCTGCTTGAGCAGGTGGATATCGGCAATCTGGCGGATCCGATTTGCCCTCGGGCCAATGATGGTGAAGCCTAAGCCGGGCACCCACACACCGCTCAGGAATATGATATGATATGAAATACAACACGTGCTTCACAGTAAATTAACCCGTACTGCACAACAACATGCATTGTACAACACGCGAGAACTGACAATGTGGCACATGCTATATTATACATCATATGAAATCACCCGTTACTGGTCTGGCAGCGCACGGCAGCGCCAAGACCATAACCGTCCAGGAGAGTCACTGGATGGGCCCGTGCTGCTGAATTTGCTGGAGCGCAGTCCCGAACGGAGTCGGCTCAACAACTAGGGCTTTGTGTCACCTCCCGCCGCGTCAGCTTCGGTTGGAGGCTCGAATATGACGTGTGCGGTCGCGACGGATAGAATCCGCGCCACGTGGATTCAAATGTATTTGCCTCGAGTGTGCATTTTAAAGTCCAATAAACACATGTTTTGCTCTTCTATACAGAACAAATTAAATTTCCTACTTTACGAAATGATTTAGGCTCCATTTGACGGCAAGGTGACGATTAGTGCCTGGCAACACTTTAGA